AATGAGCTACTTGCCTTTTAGGAGGAAAGGCCATTCTCCAAGAATTCTTTTGTCCATTGAAAATGACCTCATTAACAACCCTCTAATAATGTCATACAGTTTTCTCTCCAACCTTACATCAAGCCTATGGGGCTGGCTTATCGCTCTCACTTTGCACAGGATGGGGATGTAGCTCTGCAAGGTCACATTGCCAGGAATCAGCAGAGCAAAGATTTGAACCCAGATCCTTTTGATTCCAAAGCCATCATCTTTCACTGTTGCCCTGAATTGGATTTAATGTGACAGAGTTGCTTTAGGCAACATCACAGCAGCCAAAGGTCCTATGGATGTGCCAAGATCTTCCTGTGAACTTCCAGAAAAATCTCACTTGCTGAGAAATGTGACTGAGAGGATCTTCTCCAGGTCCAGTGTGGCATGAAAAGGTGCATGATCATGTCCTTTAATTGTCACCCACACATACTGAGGCAGACTCAGAGGTGCTCAAAGTTCACCTTCTCTTCCTGAATGGCTGAATACTTTGCCAATGTAAAATTAACGCCTTTTATATTCTATTTCAGGCTGTGGTCCTACAGAAACTGAGAGTCACTTTTTCTAAAGGTCAATTATGGTTTAATAAAAATAAGGATTTAAGTTTAACCCGATTCTTTATATAGCTACAGCTTGCACACTGCAAGTTTCTGTTAAATAGAGCAGAACATTGCCTATCAAAAGAGAATTTTTTTTTTCCTAAGGGAAACTATTTGTTCTTACTCCATTCACCAAAGGACTGAAGTATATGACCATTGTTAACTTTTAACATGATCCCAATTCACTGAGTGACCCTCATGCTATCATCCTGTAATTCAAGGAAAGTTAATGCAATGGGAGCAGAGTTACAACTTAAACCCTGCGAACCAAACCACATCACTTCCATACCGTCATCTTCCAGTTTTTTTTTTAAATATACATCACAGAATATGTATATGTCTAAAAAGATACACAAGCACTATCTACCTGTACAGAGTGAAATGAATGAAATAATCACTCAACTAGTTCACCTTAAAATGCCATCCTTGCCTCAACTACCTAATTATCTATAGGTTCAAAAATAAAGAAATGCCACTTCTGTTTATCATTGTCTGATGCACTTGCTGACTATCATTTTCATAAGTGATATATGTTCCCTCATACGAAATTCCAGAGGAAACAAATGCATTATTCCTGAATGTATTTTCATCACCTTATGTCTAACTAGTATTGTGTTTATTTGTGGCCTGGAGTACTTAATAAAAGGGGAAGTATTGAGTTGTATGGTATGGAGTCATCAAGGATCGTCATGATGATAATAATGGGCATAATTCATGGGAATTTTAATTAATCAAATGTTCAGTGTTTCTTATTGTTATTTTCATATAGATATGATGGTAGAGTATATTTTGATATATTACATATCTATGGAGTATATCTTATTTTAATTAGATCCCATTCTTGTTATACATGATGTGGAGATCCATTGAATGTTCTGTGTTTCTTAAAATAACATAAAGTAATTTAATCCTCATAAGAGAAAGGTAACCATAAGAGAAATGTATAGTATATTATCACTTAGTGCAGAAAAAAAATTAAATAATTTTCTCACTTTTGGTAAGTGATAGAACTTCACTATCACATGGCAACAAAAGTCATGTTTTTGAAGATTATTTAATGATGGTGAAAATGCTCACCATTTAATAAAAAGAACATAAAATATATGTATGTGTTTGTCTCACGCATACAGAAGTACACATAAAATGATAAATTACTGAATAAATCCACAAGATAATAACTGACAATTCAGTTGTGGGAATGGATGATTTGCTTTTTCTTTTGGTCATTTTTGAATGGTTGACAAAGTTTGTTGCATTGAGTCTGCATCATTTCGAGAATAAGGAAAAAAGCAAGAACGATTTAAAACTAATTATTCAAGAAGCCACAGAAAAGTCAAACAGACCAATAGCCATAAAACAAATAGAAAAGGCAAAAGACCTATCCCTCTAAACCAAACAATTCAGACCTTATTAACTTATGATTTCTACGCTGATTAGAATCAGCCACTTCCAGTGCTGTTCCAAATGCCTTAGAGCACTGCTGCCCAGTAGGACCTTCTTCAAAGATGGAAATGGAATATATATGCACAGCCATGTGGTAGCCACCGGGATTGTGCCAGAGGGCTAAACTATATTTTATTACAATTAATTTCAATTTAAACAGCCACACCTGGCAAATGGCTGCCGTGCTGGACGTCATAACTCGAGATCACAGAAAGTGGAGGGCGGCTTGCCAATTGTTCTCATAAAGCCAGAATAACCACCACCTAAACATGACAAAAACGTAAACCATCGACAAATTTCACATATGAGTTCCAAGGTAAGAACTAAATAATATTCTAAGTAAAATACTGATAAATGTAACCTAGGACAGATTAGAGGAATGGTAGGTACTGGAAATTCAGGATGATTCAGAACTGGGAAATTCATTAATAGAATCCAGTCCTTTAAATAAGGAAAAAGAGAAAACTTAGACCACTGCTATTAAAAAGGCATTTGTTAGAACTAAACACCCACTCTTTATTAAAAATTCATATTCAGATAGTACTGTAGACACTTGTGACATTAATATATATTTTATAACATAATAAAATATGTACCTTAACCTAGAAGACTACATAGGGAATTGATAAAATGAAAAATGGTAGAAACAATTCCATTAAATTGAGATATTCCCAAAAATATTACATGAAGAGCCATATCTTCATTATATTATTTTTGGTTATTCTGTTGTTTATTATACAAGTCAATGAAATAAGATAAAAAATAGTACATTTAAAATTTGAAAGGACTAAATTATCACTAACTGTAGGTGTTATTAATGTAATTTTGAGAAATTAATATAAATAATCACAAGTATGGCAATGTAGTTATTCAGACCATGGACTCTGAAGTCCTGCCATGGTTCTATTAGTGACAAACTTTGTGACCTTGAGAAAGTTACCTACCCTCCCTGTGCTGTTTCTTCTTTATGAGAATAATAAAATCCCTACTATAAAGTTATTAAAGACTTTTAAATATACAAATTAAGTGAGAGCTCTTAGCACATGCCTGTATACAATCAATACTATGTATTATTATAATTATTATTAAGGTGGTGAGAGTGATGCTATTTAATAGTGTGCCAAACGTACAAAAATATGAAAAAAAAATAAATTTATAAAAGAAACATAATCAGTGTCTAAGAATAAATATAAAAAAGAATGTTCAAGATTAATATGTATTTAAAAGTGCTCTGGGACAAAAAGAAGAGTTGAATAAAGGAAAAATATAAACTATACTTGGATACAAAGATTCAACATCATATAGTCATAAATTTCTCCTAAACTGCCTTATGAATTAAAAGACTGATATTGAGTTCAAATTTCTATAAAGAAAAATGAAAAAACTGCAGAGAGAGCAATAAGGAAGTTAGCACAAACAGCCATGAGATATCATCCTAGAGCACTCAGATCAATCTGGTCCTGACAGATGACAGTGGACTAGTCCTGAGAGCACAGAGACAGTTCAAAGGGGTGTTCAATGTAAGTTAATTGGGGCTATTGCATATGAAGGGAAGATCAGTTATCAACAAACACCAGTTATAAAATGGTAGCCCTCCTGAAAATAATGTTCCTCCTCAACTTCATTCTTTACACTGAAAAAATTTCTCTAAATATTTAACCTTACAGGGAAATTTAAAACATAGTACAGGATAACATAAGAGAATGAAGTCTTGGCCTGTAGAAGACCTGATTATGAACAACTTGGGAGCTACATAAAAAAATCATAATTTTAATTGTGTAAAAACCCCAAGATTCTGCATGGAGAAAACACCATCCATAAATCCAAGATAATGATGAGTTGGGGGAAAACTGATCATCATATCATAAAAGGTTAATTTCCTAAAAGATCTTATACACGTTTATTAAAAAAATGGAACTGAAAAGGATTCAAATAATATAAACAAATACTTCACAGAAATTACTTCACTTATCCTATTGTACTTGAAAAAATGTTTAATGATTAATAAGAAAAATGTAAAGACAGTTTTGTTTTGTTTTTTTCCCCTGGTCCTGGGACTAAACACAAGGCCTCTGGCATGACAGGCAAAGTGCTGTCCAGCTCAGCTAACCTTTCTATCCCCCAAAATGTGGTGACATTTTTAATTTATCAGATGGCACGCAATAAAAATCTGCAAAATATTTTTTGGGGGGGCGATGAGATGGGAAAATAATTTGTATATACTGTTGGTTAAAGTACAAATTGGTACATTTTTTAGCTACTTGTCAATATTTATCATAGTTTTGAAAGTACATGTATTATTGGTCTAATCACTAAACTTCTAGGATTTACTTTATAAATGCACTCACAAATGTGGTTAGCATCACGTTTACATTTTTTTTTTTGGTAAGAGAAAAAAATGTCTATTAATGGAACCTGGCTAAATAAATGTGAAAAATGCAGACTTTGAAACACTATGTAGTCATCAGAAATGAGAAGGCAGCATGGTCTGTCAATACAAATTCACCTCTGAGATAATCTCCAAGATGAAATGAGAGAGAAGGGTACAGAGTTAAATGTGTTATAATTTTTTTAAAATACATAAGCCTATGTGTTATTTGCCTATTAACACATCATTGTTCATGACCTCATTCACCATTTATTCTCTGCCCAGTTAAATTATTATCCAAAAAATGAGCAGCAGGATTTGAGACAATTATCTCTATTTTACATAACAATACCAGAAAAACATCAAAATACGTCTTTTTGAAAAATATCTGAAAACGATATAGGACATATGGATTATGTTTATGCTGAGTGGAAGAATAACATGTAATTTTGTTTTTGTCTTGGTACTTTTCTGTGATCTTTCAAAGTTTATACAGTAATGTTGATTGCTTTTGCAAGAATTTGTGAAAGTTACTATTATTTAAAAAAATGTGGGCTACTCACCTGGTTCCTGTCCCTGGCATTTGCATATCGAAACCTCTGGATATAATAAAAGACCAGCCATGCGAGGGAAATGATCATCAGGACAATGAAGGAGATGGAGACGAACACAACCGAAGTGCGGCTCACATATTTCTGCAAGTTCCGGGTCCCAATGGTGATGTACATGGTCACGGTGACGTTCCTTTCCAGCAGGCTCACGATCTCCTTCCCCTTTGGCTCAGGAATCATAATGGCCACGATGTCTTCGACACCTGGGTAGAGAGGGGGAAGAAAGCAGCAGTTGGGGTGAGGTGGAAACGTCTGGATGAAGTACCATGCAAACCCAAGGGGACACTGCTTTTGAGCATTCTTGGCGGGGCTGGGAACACCTAACAGCTGGAAACTGAGTCATATTCTCTTTCTTCAGCTACCTAGAGACGCGGCTGTCTTACACACAAAAAAAGAACTTAAGTTGAAATCATGATTTGGTACCAGTGAGGCCATAATCAGGCCGTCTTTTCCACTCTGAGATGTTGACCCTGGGTCTGGTACAGGTGGACCCTTTCCTTCCAGCCTGGTTTACAGTTGTGTGATGTGCTCTCCAGATCTCCTGAGGAGGGCAAAGGGCACTTTACACCCCATGGCAAAGGGTGACATGTCCAGTGTTATGCCACCATCCTGAGTGCTCTGTTCCTTTCCCCTGCACAGACGCTGGGATTACCCACGCACAGATCTCCGTGTCCCGTTTCCAGGGACTGTAGGTGCCGCTCAGTGGTACAGCCCTTGCACCAACCCAACCCAACCCAAAACAACAATAAACAACAACACCTAAACCATAACAAAACAACAAAACAAAAGTTCCCGAAGCAATTTTCTTCCTTTGTGAGTACCTGCTCAACCCCAAACCAAAATTTCTTAAAGACCTCTGATATGATCTGCCAACATAAAATACTGGCTCAGAGCGATTTTCTGCTTATTTTAACCTAAGTCACTGGACACAGCTGTGCAACCTCATCCCAAGCAAAGAAAAAACAGTCTCGAATTTTTTAAAAACATTTTTATCCAATACACCTACAACATTGCTCCTATTATTTGGACAATTTGAAGTAACTGAGTCTGAGTTATGTGGGTCATTGTCCCCATGCTTCATGACAGTGTAAGGGGCAGCTCTTTGGCGAGGAGTTCTGGGATCTCTATGTGGGAGGGTGGATTTAAGCAGGAAAAGACACCAGATTCAAAGGACCCAACCCAACCTGTCATTGTGGCAGATAATACATAGAAGAGAATGTCAGTTTTACCAGATAGGTTCCCAAGAATCACCCTAATTTAAATCCACCAGAAAGATGTAAGCTCCACTCCATTTGGGGCAATCCATTACTTGAGGCGACTACAAATTAAAGGGAACTAATATGCAATTAGAATGCTGCAAATTCAGGACGAAATTAAACCCTACTAAAAGCTGGCCTATGCACATGCTGAGGTCAGCCAGGCAGATGAAACCAAACTATGTTGGCTCAGGGTGTTGCAAACCTCTTAGAAGCCACTTAGGCCTTTCATTGTATCTGGTTCTTTATGCAGGTTTTCAAACCTACATTCCACGATGATATTTCACTCAGGCTGAACAAACATTCTAAAAGCAAACTAGGTTAGAACCACTGATTTGTGATTATGAAATACTTAATATATCATTACCAAAAAAAAAAACAAAAAAACAAAACTGCACACAAAGGTATCTTGCATGCTACATCAATTACATATCTAAAAAAATTCCTACGAACTTTACATTGGTACAATTGCAAAATCATAAAGCCACAGAGTGTTTGGGTTTGGACCTTGTTTCCGAGAATGACTCAAACTCACAGCTTGAATTCCAACTTTGCAGAATTTACTAAGGATTCTGCGGCTCCTTCTGCTTTAGTGTTTACTTTGGCTAATGGCTGCGTGTGGTCTGGGGTTTGGTGAGGGATTAAGGCTACTGGCAGGTTTTGTCTTTACAGAAACATGATCTTCTTTGTGTCTTGCACTAATCTGGCTTGGTTCATCCTGGTGCTGCCTTTATTTTAGAGACATTTAAGCAACAGTAGGATCATAATTTTTCATTGATTTCCTTATTTATATTCTTTAGGCATGTTTATTTAAGGCTCTCTAGAATTCAATTATTTTTTGAGGATGGGTGTTTGGGGATTAATTATGGTACACAAACGTTTTATATTTTTCAATAAATTTCATAAATAGATTGCTTAGTGGCTTCCAATTTTGATATTCTACTTAGAAAATTTGCCTCCAATTTGCTGGTAAATGGATGGAACTGGAGATTATTAAGCTAAGTGAAATAAGCTAATCCCCCCAAACCAAAGGCTGACTGTTCTCTCTGATATGCAGATGCTAGCACACAATAATGGGGGGGGGATAGAAGTTCACTGGATTAGATAAAGGGGAGTGAAGGGAAGGGAAGAGGGATGAAATAGGAAAGACAGCAGAATGAATCAGACATAACTTTCCTATGTTCACACGACCAGTGAAAATCCACATCATGTACAACCACAAGAAGGGAAAGTTATACTCCATGCTATGTGTGATATGTCCAAATACACTATACTGTCATGTACATCTAAAAAGAACAAATTAAAAAAAAAGTTTGCCTCCACCCAAGATTCTATTCAAATATTTATCTAATATAGCAACACACTGTTTACTGAATTCTCATGCATAGGTGGAAAACAGGAGCATTGGGATGTGATTTCTTTCCACCCTAATTCTTCTAATTCGGGCATATTTTACACTTGGCTTTTCCCTGTGAGGCTGACCTGCTGAACCTGCACCAGGCCTTCAGTTTTACAGCTTTCAACTCATTTCCTCTCCGGTGGCCCAAACACTCCTCACCACTTCCCCTGCTCCCACTCTAGAATTTTCCCATTTGTACTTACACTTCAGAGACCACAGAGTCTTAACAGTTAAGAATTGGTTTCTGGAACTGGATGGTATATTTGAAACTCCAGTTCAGCACTCTAAAAACTGGCAATCAACTTCTGGATCTCCACAAAGCTTTCAATTACTTATGATCCATTCTCAGAGATCCGAGAAAACATTTTCTCTTGCGGTAAAGTATAATGAACTATTTAAAGCATCTGTTTTAAACTCAAGGGCTTAGTGACATCTCTAGGGTTGTCTGTACCAATGTTGTGAATTTTCCAGCCACTGGGAAAGACAAACTGCAGATGACAGCAGGGCACGTCTGTTCATCTGGACTTCAACCTTATTCATTTTTAACATTCATAATTAATTCCCAAGCCTGATGATGGTAAAAATAGATGTGATTCAGGGGTAGTATTCTTTAGACTGTGTACCGTGCAAGGTAAAAGTTATTATTGAAATAAGTGTGAATTTTATTAATAGTTTAGGAATTTAGGGCTCCAAAAGAAAGAAAGGGAGAAAGAGAGAAAGAAAATCAGTACATGTTAAGTAGCTTTGGATGAGCTACCATTCTGATTGATGCATACATTTCAGAGCAAAAATCTACTCCAGGAACTAATTTTCCCAAATGAGACATGTTCATTGATGTGAGCTCTCAATTCCTGACCTTTGCTTCATTTTAGAATATGTAGCTACAGAGTCAGGGAGAATTCAGCAGAATGTTCCAGTTTCTGCAGTGTAATTGCACCCGTGGGTGTGTGTGAGCAGGAAAGGAGTGAACCAGGGCCAGGTGGGGTGGGGGAGAGAAATCTCAAGGATAATGTTGCCCTCAGTAGCTATGTAGTATGCATCTATGACATACCAGAGGCTCTAAAGTTCAGGGGAGAGAAGTTAACTGAGAGCATATTTTGTACCTTCCAAATGTACAAAAGAGTCCTAGTTATTTGGGAAATTCTATATTTACAGTGACATCTGAGCACCTCTTTTTGTTCAAAAAGTTCCATCAAGCTTGCCATCTATTTGTCTCCCAAAGGTACTTCATCCTTCTGAGTGGTAATTGCTGTTATGTAATTACTGTGTGTGCTGTAAAAGCTCCCAGTCCTAGGGGAGAAAGTGTGGACAGGACACATATCACCTGGGTGCCAGGCCAAGAAGGGAATCTTGGGTTTTGAAGTGCTTCTTTCACCCACGAGAGTGTTCGGCTGCCATAATCTAATTTGGTAGGCATAGTTAAGGAATCCAAAGCCAAAGAATGTTCAATGACAAGAAAGCCTTTATTTGTATATTCAAGCCAGGTTGTTTAAACAATGAAAAATGTCCAGAACACCAGCAGAGTGCTAGATGTTCTTCCCTGTGCACCTTGGAGGATGTGAACGTGGCTCCCTGTGTTCATGGGATCAAATCTCCTTCTTCCATCCCCTGCATCCTTCTCTCCCCCATAATCAGAACTTTCTTCTGTCTCACTGATGGCTCTTTAGGATTTGGGCAATTGTTAAAAAAAGAAAAAAAGCTTGTAGAGTTCTATTTGTAGATATTTTCTGTTTACACACTTCACATCAACTGTGTTTTAATTAGCTTCTGATGATGACATATTCTCAAGCCAAAAAAAATGTATGTGAAATGATTTTAAAACCTGCAAAGTACCATGTAAGTATACACAGTGTTATTGCTACTTTTTGCACCCACAAATGTATTTTTATTATACAAAGATGCAAAAATCCTAAATAAAGCACTCCCAAACAGAATCCAATAATTCTGTTTCTAATAAAACAAGTTTTAATCCAATAAAACAAATTTCATTCCTAAAAGGGCTTTATTCTGGGAATATGAGGATGATTATTTTGGGGGGAAGGATTGAACCCAGGGGTGCTTAGCCATTGAGCCAAACCCCAGCCCTTTTCATTGTTTATTTTGAGACAGGGTCTTGCTAAATTGCTTAAGGCCTTGCTAAATTGCTGAGGCTAGCCTCAAACTTGAGATTCCTCCTGCCTGAGCCTCTCACGTCACTAGGGTGTGGCACCAGACCTGGCTGTGAGGATGACTTAAAGTCAGAAAATATATTGAATTTTTAGGACATTCACAAGTTTAAGGAATAAAGCACATGATTATGTTGTGTAGCTTGTTATGTTCCAGTCTTTACTCTGCCTTTCCCCTGTAGCATTACTGCTTTAGCTAGGAACAGGCTGTCCAGAAAAAAAGTGTTAATCTGTAGGCTCCCTTGCAGCTAGAATTGGCTATGTGATTAATATTTGGACACCAAGACGTGAGCAGAAGTGATGTTTTCCAATCCAGGTTCTTATCTGGAAGAGGACTGAATATTTGCTCCTCAAATTCCACCTGCTTTTCTAAGTGACTTCAG